CCACTCACCTCAGCCTCCCAAGGCGCGGGATTACAGACTGAGCCACCAAGCCCGGCTCTGAACTACTTTCTAACTTCTCAATCCTTTCTTGCCCTTTGGACTCTAAGACATCATGATACCCAAAGCAGATTCCCCTTCTTCAGGCCACCTTTTGAATTCTAGTATTTTTCAGGTGCAACCCTACTTTCTCCCGCTCCCAAAGCCTTTTCAATATGCTGCACACCCTTAATTTACACATTTATCATCTCTGGCTTGGACTATTTCAGTAGCTTAAATGATATCCTTGTGCCAACTTTCTCCCAATCCCGGTCTATCCCTTATGCTGTCATCAGAATAATCGTTTTCCTTTAATGTCAAATGTTTGTGGAAAGACCTCCATTATCTCCTGTTGCTTACAAGAAAAAGCCCCAAACCTCAGCAACACCATACAACGCCCTTCACTTTGGCCCCAACCAGTTCCTCCAACCTCATCTTGCTCCACTGGCTCACCCAGAACTCCAACCACATGGAAATGTTCTCCATGACCTTTCGCAAATGCCATTTTTCCCTGTTCCCAACTGCTTTCTGGCCCAGCTCCTTTCACTAACAAACACTTACCAAACTGCATTTTAAATATCTCTACGCGTCTATCTACATCTCTATTCTCCAGTAAAATATAAGCACCTCCCGTATAGGGAAACTCCCCTCTCTTCTCTATAGTTCCAGAATCTGGCACCAAGCAAATGCTCAACAAATATTCACTGACTGAATTGTGAGCAATCAACAGATGTCTAAAGGATTTTTTTTTTTTTTTAAGAGCTGCAGTCTTAAAATTTCTCCTTGGGTGAAATTGAAAGGAAAACGATGCAAATGAAACTCTCAAGCTCAAATCTCAAGGTGAATATGAGTTATTTTGAAGGATCAGACAAATCTGGATTATCCCAGAACTTCAAAGTTGTATGACTATGGCAGTGGATATGCACAACACATAAGGCCTTACCACTTCCCTCTCTAAAATCCTCCAATGGCTTTTACCGACAAAGCCTCATCCTTCATCTGGCCTACAAGGGTCGCATCAAAAACTTGCCTCCAACTACTTAGTTTCATCTCATGATACTCTCTGCCTTCCTCAATGAACTTCAGCCAGACAGGCTTGCTTTCCCAGTCCTTTTTGGCACGAGCAGATATATCGTTAACGTTCTTTCATAGTCCCTACTACTGCCAGCTAGTACACTCTTATCCTTGGGCTACTAGCCCAAGGGTTCCTAAAGTTGCCGCCATTAGATGGTAGAACACAAGGCCGTTTCATCACATTATATCTGACAGGCAATACAGTATAGCATTATGTCTATGGACTATGGACTCAGGCTAGGTCCTTGGGCATATTTAACCTCTTCAAGACTTGGCTTTCTCACCCATAAACTTGGGGTCACAGTAGCACCTGCCTCGCAAGGTTATTGAAGAGACCGAAGGAGATAACGCATGTAAAGCACTTAGACTCGTGTTGCCATATAGTTCTAGCCCAACATATGTCAGCCATGAGCACACTTAATCAGCGTCGCCATCCCTTGCCCCCAACCCTGGTGAGTACCCACAGAGTCCTGTAGTCCGGGACCTCGCCAGCCTCCTCCGGTTTTGTCCTTTGTTTTGAGTCACCGTCTCACTCTGTGGCCCAGGCCGGAGAGCAGTGGCACCATCACGGCTCACCACAGCCTCGACCTCCTGGCCTCAAACGATCCTCCCTTTTCAGCCTCCCAAGTAGCTGAGACTACAGGCGCGCGCCACGATGCCCGCCTCATTTTTTTTTTTTTGCAGAGGTCTCGCTGTATTGCCCGGGCTGGTCTCGGAGGCAATCCTCCTGCCTCGGACCCCCCAAGTGCTGGGATTACACGGGTGAGCCACCGCGCCCGGCCCTTTTCAGTATATAGCCTCAGCACGGGGTTCTGAACACAGCAGGCTTTCATCCCATGATTTTTAAAAATAAAAATAAACTTTGGAAAGCCTCGTGTCACACGGTGAGCTGCAGATCTCAGGCAATCACGCAAACCGCCGGGCCTCGGATACCCTGCTGCAAAATGCACTGCCTGCCTCGGGGAAGCCTTATTTTCAATAACGCGCTGTGTCTACAAAAGCAGGGGTCCGTGTCTGTCCCCCTCCGGCACGTCTCGTCCCGACCCCGCACTCCTCCCAGCCACACCCCGACTGCGCCGTTGGCCCCGGTCCCTTGGGATTGCAGGCGTGGGAGCCTCGGCCCCGCGCGGCTCCCTCCCGGCTCCCCGCGTCCTCCTTCCTTCCTCGCCCGGACGGACGCACTTCCGGCGGATGTGGGGGGGGAGCGGCCCCCGGAAACGGAAGTGAGCGGCGGGGTCGACTGACGGTAACCTGGCTGAGGGCTGTTCGCAGAGCGGCTGAAGATGGTGAGTGAGTCCCGGGACGGCGCGAGTTCCAGGCGAGGCTCGGGACCGTGGCTCGGGAGACACAGGCCGTCCCCTCCCGGCCTGTCCCCGAGTGGCGGCGGCGGCGGCGGCGGCGTGGGGATGAGGCCGGCTTCGGCGCCATGATTGTCGAGTCACGGGGGTGGGGCGGGTCCGGCGAGCAGCGGTTCGGCCTCACCTGTTCCTCCTCCTCCTCGCTTTGCGGCCTCCCATCCCCGAGTCCCCAGCAGACCCAGACCCCTTTCCCGTGGTTGGCGCGAAACCAGGAGAGGCAAACCCGAAAGTGCAGCGCCGTGGGGGGTGGCGCCACCGATCCTGTCCCGGAGAGTAACCTCTGGGGGCCCGGAGCCTTCAGACTCCTCACCCCTCCTTGCAGCTGCCTGATCATCAGTTCACAGCCACAGGTCGCATTAACCTAACGCAGCCTTCCTCTGCAAACGTTTTTGAGAGCGTGTGTCGGAGGGGACAAAAGTCAGGCAGCTGCCATTCCCCGTTTGTCATTTTGTTAGCGCATCTCTCCCCTCTTCTCTCTTCCACCGGCTACCCTCACCCCGCTCTCCTTTTAACTTTTGGCATATCTAGGAAGGCTCGAGTCACCATTGCCCCAGACCCCCATAGCAGCGCTGCTGGAAAGCCACCCATCCAAATCTAGAAAGCGTCTGCTGGTAAATACTGTTCTTCATCATTGTGAAGAAGTTGTAGAAACACTCGCAAATGCAGCTGGTATTAGGTTTTCATGGATTTGCTTTTTTTCTCTCTCTCTCTGTGCTTCTTCGCTTTATTGGAAACATTAAGTCCTAATCTTAAGTTTTTACAAAGGAAATTGGAAACCTGACAGTTAATGGAAGAATTCAGAGATGAGAATTCTCCTGTGCTTTGTGCATAGAAGAAACTTTTTTTCTGTCATTTTACAGTAAGGCAATCTGGCAGGAGGACAGCATTCTTGTAGGAAAGTAACAGAAGATACATTTGGAAAGCTACAGTCATACAGCTCTACTGAAGGGCCTGAATGTATGGTGGTTTAAGTTACAATGTTTCAACTTTATGGTCATGGAGGATGGTGCAAGATCAGTACACATTCAGTGGAGGCCATACTTTTAAGTTCCGTTAGGGCCATCTGTTTTCACTTTCAGCACAGTATTCAGCAAATTACATGAAATATTCAGCACTTTTCAATCTAATAGACTTTGTATTGGATGGTTTTGCCCAACTATAGGCCAATGTAAGTGTTCTGAGCATTTTTAAGGTAGGCTAGGCTAAGGCCTGATGTTTGGTAGGATAGGTGTTAAATTATTTTTGACTTTTGATATTTTCAACTCACGGTGGGTTTGTTGAGTGCTAACCCCATCATAATTCAAGGAGCATGTGAAGTTCTGGAACGAGTCCCGCTACCTAATACAGATGAGTCAATAGGGCCAGAGAAGTTTTGTGCTTTGCAGGCAGTCACAAAGTAGGTTAGTGACAGTCCACATTAGATTCCTGATCCACCGTGACTTCCTGTATGTAGGAGAGTCAGAACCTGTTGTGCAGGTTCTTGAGTTCCTGAGGACTCTAGACCTTATTCTTCAGACATTGATGAACCACAAGAAGGTTTTATAGTAGTTTGGTGGGCGAGGTTGTGTGTTTTAGGAAAACTTTAATATGCAGAATTAGAAAATGGACGAATCTAAGGAACAAGGTCTACTAGAATGCTCTGAGACCCTGGGCTAGGGTGGTAGAGTGAAGAAACCCTGGAATAAAGTAGGTGCCCAAATAAAGTATACAAATGAATTAAATCAGTAAAAGTCTAGTTTTTTGGAGCATTTCTCCTAGAATAGGATTTGATACCAAACTACCTGTAGCTGTTTTAGACTTTTCTGCAGAATTGCCTGGATTCTGTGCTTGATCACCAAGTGATTTAAGGTTAGCATTTTGTGCTTTAGTTGTTGTAACTCTGTGTTTAATTTGCTTGTTTAATATATCTTCATCAGATGAAGCCCTGTGAGGTGTCTTCAGCACCCAGCAGAGTACCTGGCACATAATAGATACCTAAGAAGTATTTGGTGATTGCATGTTTTGTAGTAATAATGTGTAGGGTGACAGTACGTCAGTACCAGATGCACTGAGTCTTGTTTGTTTGTTTTATTGTACACTATCCCAATAAGATGCATTTCGGTTTTTTAGGTGGTGACCTCTTACAGAAACCGAACACTTTCTGAAATTCCCTTTTTTCCCTAGCTTCTGTGACCCCTTTTTGCTAGCTGTCCTGTCTGTTCTTAATTTCATTTTTTTTCTTGTTCTTAAGGAATAAGGCTTCTGACCTCAACTTTTCATTCTGTGTTAAGCATCCCAACTCTAGGGAGAGATCTTTCCAGTGAAAGCATATCTGATCATGCCATAACCCTCTCTATCAATTTCTGAATAAGCCCACATTTCTTTAGATATAAGACTTTTCACTTTTCCATTTTGCCAGCCTTTACTTCTGCCTCATGAGACATGCATTTAGCCAGTCTTCTCAAACTACTTGAAGCTTGTTCATTTATGTTTTCATACCTTTAGAGATGTTATTTCTGTTTTCCTGGAATGCCTTTTAGTCTGACAGCTTCTGGAATCCTTCCTATTCCCAAATTTGACATTACTTATTGTACCATGTATGTCCCTCTATCATGATGCTTAAGGCTTGCTGTGATCATCTAGTTTGTGGGTTCTTTAAGGTCAAAGATCTTATCTTCCTACTTAAATTGTTTTTTGTTTTTGTTTTTTACATAGGCATTTAGTACATGTGTTTAAGTTTTTTTGTATTGAATAATTTTTTAATTTGTGTTGTAGAACTCCAGAGGACTTGGATCTCAGCTGAGGGACAGTATTCCAGTTACTGAACTTTCAGCAAGTGGACCTTTTGAAAGTCATGATCTTCTTCGGAAAGGGTATTTGGGGAAGTTGTGACTTCAACTTTGATGGGATAAAATATCTCTGAATTATTTTTCATGGTATTCTTTAAGTATTTTGATAAGCTATACTTGCATATTTAATTTGGGAGATGACTAGTCATATACCTTACATGGGAGGGGGCAGGGGAAGAGGCTTAGTTGTTTTCTATAGTGGAAGCAGGATCTCAGCAGAGTTCCCAGGGTAGGGCATCCTTTTGTTAGAATGCCTGTTGTTTGACTTTATGGGATTCTGTTTTTTTTTTTTCCTTTTTGTTTTTTCCCTACTGATAACTTGATGAGCCATTTGCCTTCTTATCTTATTAACTATTGGAGTAATTCACTTTTCTTTGGAGGGCACTAGGACATAGCAGTGAAGAGGTTAGATTCTGGACTCAGGCTGCCTGGATTTGTGTCCTGGCTCTGCTGTTTACTATGCATGTTGCTTTGTGCTGTTTACTAGATGTGGGAATTGCTCTATGTCTCAGTGCTCTTATGTATAAAGTCAGGCTAATAGTCTGTATCTTAGTTTGAGGAATAAATGAGTTAATGCCTGAGAAATACTTGAAACAGTACCTGACATTAGAAGCACTCAGTAAGTGTTGGCTGCTATTGTGGGTTTTGTTTGTATGTCAGTTTCTTCCAGCTTTAGCAAACAGGTATGCCCTTTTCCGTGATTACCTTAATGTTTCTGAATGTTTGGCTCTTAGTTTCTGATAGTCCTTTCTCTTGGCATGGGACTTTTCTGCCTAATCAAATAAGGATATGCCTTTCCCCCAAAACCTTCTATTTTTTGAATTTTGTGTCTAATTTTAAAGTGTTTACTCTCATAATAAATGGTATTCTAATGATGGTATCTTGGGCACAGATATTCTCCCTCATTTTAGACTTTCAATTTTATAGTAAAAGATGCCGTATATAACCTGTGGAATTAGAGATAGAATTGACTTACTACAGTATTGTCAAATTCATTGACTAGGCAGTAACTAAGTCCTGATGATTTTTTTTTTCCCTCATGTGAAATCCTCCTTTTTCTTTTTTTCCTAATTGAACTGGAAGATTGTCATGAGCAGGACCATTTTCAAATCCCACTTCTTGGATAATTTTCTCTATAAAGACAATATTCAGTAAATGATTGTTCCAGAATTTCCAAGGTTCTTTCAGCTTTCAAATCCTGCTTTGGGCATTAAGACAGTCATCCTTATATACCTAGAGTGGTGTAGACCATTGGCCTGGTTCTAGCTGTGCATCTCCTAACAGTAAATGCTAAACATATTGTTAAACATGTTTATTAAAGGTAGATCGTATATGTGTTGAATGTGAAGGGAAGAGGCTTAGGTAGTTTATGTAGTGCAAGAAGCATTAGATTAATAGTAATGAACACTTGTGGAATTGCTTCTAGGTACTGGCATCATTTATTTAGTACCAGGTTTTGGAGGGTTCTTTATAGTGATTGAAGTCTTGACCACCAGTGTCATTGACGCTGAGTTGGAGTCTCACTCAGTCGCCCAGACTGGAGTGCAGAGGCTGCTTCTGGCCACTGCAGCCTCGACCTGCTGGGCTCCCATGATCCTTCCACCTCAGCCTTCCAAGTAACTGGAACTACAGGCACGCACTACCACGCCTGGCTAATTTTTTTGATTTATTGTAGAGATGAGGTCTCGCCAAGTTACCCAGGTGGGTCTCAAACCCGCAGACTCAGGCAATTCACTCATCTCGGCCTCCCAAAGCGTGGAATTACAGGCTAAGCCACCAAACCCGGCCGATGCATTCTTAAACAGTTATTATTTGCCTTTTTTTTTTTTCCACCTTTTGGTGTGTAGGTCTATGAATTTTTAGCACGTGTATCAATTCCTATAACTATCACCACAATCAGGCTACAGAACAATTTCTTCACTCCCCCAAAAACTCCCTCATGTCATCCAATTATAGTCACACCCTTAATGTGATTTTTGAACTGTTGATATTTAGTGATATTTGATCTCCCTTAAAAAATTTTTTTCAGTTTTTCTTGTGTGAAAAATGAACTTCTGCCTAGTCATCCTCTTGAGTTATCAGAAAAAAATGTAAGTATGTTACTGTGTCTTTATTTTTATCTTCTAGCAGAAAAGTACTTTTAGAAATATTGGTTTAATTTATTGAAACAATTCTTGTACTGAGGGTTTCACCATGAAGAATAGGAGACTTTATTTTCAATCTCCTTGTAGCATAGGCTTACAAATTATCATTATACTGCTCTAGTAAAGCTCATTTTTTACACAGCCTTTTCTGCCTTTTTTTTTTTTTTTTTTTGAGTTGGAGTCTCACTCTGTCGCCCGGACTGGAGTGCAGTGGCTCCTCCCAGCCACCGCAGTCTCGACCTGCTGGGCTCCGGCGATCCTTCTGCCTCAGCCTTCCGAGTAGCCGGAACTATAGGTGCGCGCTACCACACCCAGCTAGTTCTTGATTTATTGTAGAGATGAGGTCTCTCCCAGTTGCCCGGGTGGGTCTCAAACTCGCGGGCTCAGGCAGTCCACTCACCTCAGCCTCCCAAAGGCGTGGGATTACAGGCTGAGCCACCGAGCCCGGCTTCTGCCTTTTTTTAATCGACATCTCTAAAGGTTGGTTTGCTTCTCCATTCCTCTCATAATAATTTTCTCATTTGACAATCCTGTTTATTTTCTGTTTTTTTCTACCATTTTTGCTGTTGATCTTCATACCTCTAGCCTTGGCCTCTCTCTCAAGCCTTGCACTAGGGACATGTCCACTAGGCGCAGTAGGTACACAGGTGAACATGACATAAATCCCCATCCTTAAAGAACTTAAAATGTAATGGGAAAAGTGAGTAGGAGGAGGCGTCATAAAGAGGATCAAGGCTGGGACAATCACCTGTGCTTAGGGCTTTCGGAAGACTTTATGCAAGATGGGATGTTTGAACAGTTTTAGGCCAGTATTCACCAAATAAATAGGTGGGGAAAGATCGCTCCCAAAAGGAGATGGTATGTACAGATAGTCTGAAGGTGACCTAAGGAGTTCTTAAAGCAAGGAGATAAAGACTTCTCACTATGCAGGGAAGGTGGTGTGGTGTCATCAAGTAACAGAAAGCTGAACTGTTTTTTAATTTGTTGCTTTTGTCCTCTTCAATGAGGGATACGTCATTCTATAAGAAAGAGTAGAAGAGCTGCCTATAAATCTCAATACTTTGGGAAGCCGAGTCTTGAGGATCACTTGAGCCCAGGAGACCAGCCTAGGCAACAAAGCCAAACTTCATCTCTAAAAGGAAGTTTAAAACGAAATTTTAAGAAAAAGAGTAGAGCAGATAATGTAGTTATGAAATTAAAGTTTAAGATGAGAAAATAAAAGAGTTTATAGTTGCATTGAGTGCATTCAGATTTCAGGCTTAGAAGTTGACAGCTCCAAGTAGACTTAAAAGCATATGAGTTTGATTATAAAACTAAAGGTGATCATCTTTGAGAACTAATGGGAGAAATGAACATTTCCTGTAGACTGAAGATGGATAATTTTTCCACTTTCCTAAAAGAGGTCTAACTGAAAAATAAGATTGTAGTAACATTGGTCCCTGGCATTGTTTTTAAGTGGACTACTGAGTAGATGGCATTGAGCATTAATGAAGTAAGCAGTGATCACTAGCAGCTGAATGAGCTCATAGCAGATTAATCTTAGTTGACTCTTTTATTAAATTCCCAAATGGGTCAGTCAAGGGATCAAATTATCTGACAAGGGATAAGCTAGAGGAGGATCAAATGGTAGATTATGGGCTGAGTGAAAGTAGTGTAGGGTAAATTATGTTAGGTTGAGAACTCCCCAGAGAGTGGCGATTAAGGAATAGTCCATTTAGAGGGGCTTTTTTGGTAGGGATCTTGGACCTCTGCCTACAGTTTCTTAGGTGGTAAGGTGAACACTTAGGAAAGGTAAGCATTTGTCAAAGACTTGAGGTGGCCATAGAAAGCATATAAACTAGGTTTTTGAAATTCAGAGCTGGTAAGAATAATTTATTTTGATGAATAACTGAACTACATCATGATGACAAACCAAAAGTCTAGACCAAAATTCTAAGAAAATTATTTATAGAGGTGAGTGTGAAGTGTTACATTTGGGTTTAAAAAATGAATTATATACATTTAAGTGGGGTAAACCTGATTGGCTACGTAAAATTTGATGATTTTAATTGACTGTATACTCAGTATACATTAGCTGCTAAAAAGAATGACTAATGCAATCTTGGACTTTATTAATAATAAAATGAGGCTCAAATCAAGGGAGATTATATTCTCATTTTTCTGTGTATTAGTCTGGCCATTAGATTTGGATTATTGGTTTAGTTCTGAGCAATACCTGCTCAGAGAAACTGACAAATCTGACTAGAATGGTGAAGAATCCAAAAACTTCATCTTTTGAGACATGGCTTATATATTAGCTGCCCCTGTTCTTCCTCAGTCGCTTAACCAGGTATTGGAGTCTTTCTCTCTTAAAATTCTGTGGCACTTGTTGTCTATAATTCTTTTAGCAGGGGTCGTGTAGTTGAACTCCGTAGTCATCATACTTATTTGCTAAGAAAACTTGAGGCAAAATCTTAGTCTTCTTATCTGTAAAATGGACTTAGTCATAGCCCATCTCTTGGCATATTGCTGGCCTCGAGTAACTCTTCATGACAGTGATGACAGATGACTGTCATTATGTGCACCATTAGTTCTCAACTAGGAGAAGATTTGCTCTTCCTCCCATGGGGGGGGCAGTTGGTACTGTCTGAAGACATTTGTGGTTGTCACAAGTGATGTAGCAGGGTTGGTGGTAGGTGGGGGGTGGTTGATATTGGTGTCTCTCGGGTAGAGGCTGGAGATACTGCTGAACATCCTGCAAGTGCACAGGAAAATCCCTACAATGAAGAATTATCTGGCCCAAAATATCAGTGCCAGGAGTTGGGAAGCCCTGGTCTGTAATGCCTTCCCAGCTAGATTATAACCTTCCCTGGCGTAAACTGTTTTATTATGTTTTGCCACAGAGCCTGATTTTGCACCTGGTTGCTAATTTATATATTGATATATACTTGTAGTATTTTTTTTTTCTTCCTTTCTTTCTTTTTTTTTAAATTTCATTTTTTATTTGTAGGGACAAGATCTCGCTATGTTGCCCAGGCTGGTCTTGAACTCCTGGGCTCAAGTGATCCTGGGTTCTCACCTCTGCCTCCCAAAGTTCTGGGATTAGAGGCATAAGCCACCATGACTGGTTGATAATTACAGTTTTAATATCACATTACAGGAAGGGCATAGACATCAAAGTTTACATAAATTGACTATTTCTGCATAAAATTATATTTACTGCCAAGTGTGTTGGAATGCACCCATAGTCTCAGCTACTTGGGAAGCTGAGGCAGAGGATTGCTTGAGCCCAAGCTGTAGCGTGCAGTGTTTGTGCCTGTGAATAGCCACTGCACTCCAACCACATAGTGAGACCTGTACATCCAAAATGTAAGCAGTAATATTATCCTGGTAAAAGTACCCTCTATGCTGAACAAGATATAGACATATATGTCCTAAAACTTTTCAGAAGAAATTAGTAAAAGTACTTAGTTTGTCCTTTGGTTATGGATGTTAAAATTATTCTTCTAAGTATTGTGTCATACATGTATTACTGCTAACTGTTTTGAAAGCAGAGTATTGAGTGTAAAATTACATTGTCTTTTGTAGTTCCAACTCAACCAAGATAAAATGAATTTTTCCACACTGAGAAACATTCAAGGTCTATTTGCTCCACTGAAGTTACAAATGGAATTCAAGGCAGTGCAGCAGGTAAGTTTCAGGATCTCTTGTGTGAGCATCGATGTCCGTCATGAAGTGCTTCTGTTTTCATAACAGCTGTTTAAACCTACCTTCTCTACTCTCTTACAGCCTTTTCTACTTTCCCCCTTTTTAGGACATGACCTTGATTCCATATGGGAAAAGAAGTCATTAAATGGGAAACTTTCCAAATACAGGCTCAGTGTCTGAAAACTTACCTGCATCTACTTGCGTATTTTTCAGTTTTTTTGTGGGTTACGTTGAATTTGAGATGCCTCTAGGAATAGTGGAGGTATCGAGTATGCAATTTGTATACAGTGGGGTACACCTGTTGCTAAGGATTAAGTACTTGGAGAATGGCCTTCCAAGTACATAAGAACTGTCCTCCCACTTGTGCTCTGGGTTCTGTTCCATCACACTACTTCAGGAAATTCCCATTATCAGCGATCCTTTCTGTGCTGTATCTTTAACCTCTCTACTTCCTCTCTTCCAGCAGTAGCATTTTAGATATTTGCCTTTTAAAACAAAGCAAAACAATATCGTATCCATTCCAAATCCCTTTATAATAACTTCTCTCTCACTGAGTGTGCTTTTGCAAGTTGAACTTCCTGAAAAGTTGCCCGCACTTGCTTTACATGCCTCCTCTACCTCCTGTTCACTTAACCCGCTGTAATCTGTTTGCCAGCCCCCCAGCGAAACTGCTTCTCTCAGTGTGGACGTCTTCCCCCTCACTTCACTTGCTCTCTCAGTAGCATTTGACAGTAATGGCGCCTTCCTTTGTCCCTTGGCTTGTAGAAGACCGCACTTTCCTGCTGTCCTCCTCCTCTCTGAACTCCTGTTTCTGGTGTCTCTGCGGGTTCCACTTGTTTTGGTGTTGTCTGAAAACGCCAGTTCTGTTAGTACTCCATCTCCAGTCCTTTTCTCACCCTGTTCCTAGCTGTTCCTAGGCTTTAGTCATCAGTTATGTGCTGCTGACTCCTAAGTTAGAATTCTCGGATCTGTCAGCCTACAAGCTTTTCCGTCTAGAATCCCACAGACACCTCCACTTTACGTGTACAGGTGCAGAATGGCTCATTAGTCCTCACATCCTCCTTATCACAGATGAGCATTAGCCTTGGTTATCTCACTCAGCACCTCGTCCCATCCCCTTCCCCCTCCGCCAGATTATCCAGTCTGTTACTGGCTCTTCTCACCATTGCTTCTGTGTTGGTTCTGGCCCCTGCCATGCTTTGTCTGTGTTACTGCAACACTCACCCTGCTGCTTCTTCAGCCCTTGCCAGAATAATCTTTGTAAAACACAAATTTGATCATGTTGCTTCCCTTACTGCCCTCAGAATGAGGCTCAGCTTCTTAACCTGGCTTGTTCATGAATGGTCTTCATGCTTCCCACCATGCCTTCCTAAATGACTTGCAGTGCCCTAACTAATGGTGTTATTTCACTGTTGGACTTTTGCACAAGTTTTTCCTGTTAGTGTGGATTCCTTTTCCTTACTTAGCTAAAATTGTCTTTTGTAATGAATTCTATTAATACCTGCGGTTATTTTTGGCTAAGTCATTCTGGGAGCTACTTTGAGCACTTCTTTCCAAGAATAAAGCTCTAAAAAGAGCATGGTTGTAAATTAGCATAACCAGAGTCTGAATCTTGGTTCTTCCTTCTACTCTTCTTAAAAACTTGAGTAAGTTAGAGATATTTCTGAATCTCAGATTTTTTCTTTGTTTTTAATGTGAAATGGAGAGAGCAGTAAGAACAGAGAAGGGTTATTCTGAAGATTAAGTGAAATAACATGTTTGGCACAAAATTGTTAGCTTTCCCTTTTATTTTCCTGTTATTCAGATTTTAACTACATGTTGCTCAGCTTGTGGGCTTAAGTTTTTAATACAATTTAGTCAAAGAAATCTTTGCCCAGAATTCTAACCCTTTTTCCCTACTCCCTAGTCTTCTGCAGTTCTTACTTTTGTGGGTGTTTGACAGTTGCCTGCTCATTCCTGCTTTTGATTTCCTTCTCAGGGCTCTACCTCTGATCTAACTACCAGGCCCCTTGCTGTCTAGTTTAATTTACAAGCTACTATTTCTGTTTTTTCCCTTCCTCCTCTTTCCTTCCTGTTTCCTGTTTTGTTTTTTTTTTTAAGTTTGACAAGCTAGAGAATTTTCTCACACTAAAGATTTAAGTAATTCTATAGGCCATTAGTAATTGAAAATAATATCTTTAGTCTGGATACATTTTTTAGGAAAATCTGAGCATTAACTGCCTCCTTAGCTTCTAAAAGTATCATCATTTTAAAGATACTAGTATCATCTAGTCACTGACCACCTGTTACTGTTTTGGTAGTCTTTCGGCAATATCTAAAATTACCTGCATTTGCTGGGTGTAGTGATGCGAGTCTGTAATCTCAGCTTGGGAGGCTGAGAGAAGAGGATCACTTGACCCCAGAAGTTTGAAACCAGCCTGGACAACATAATGAGACCCTATCTCAAAATAATAATGAAATTACATCTGCATTGACTTTAGTAAGAACTACTGGATAACTAACAGAACAGAAAAACTGAAAATGTGGTTGGCTACAATAGTTTGGAGTACCAACTATGTGCCAATGACTGTATTACATATACTTTACACCACACCATGCTACAGTTTTCAGAGAAAAGTGATATTATCCTATTTCACAAATGAGGAAACTGAGCCTGAGATGGGTCAGATAACTTGCACAGAGCCATTTGATTGGTGGGTGATAAAGTTAGAAGTTGAACTTAGATCATTCAGCCTCCTCAGCCTGTATTTTCTTCACCATACTTAGGAGTCAGTCTACTGAATATGCATTTAATACTTGGAAGAAAAGAGATCATGAAAGTTTGTAACAGAATAGGATTTTTAAAGGCTCCACAAATGCCTTTGTTCTGCATTTCTGGTTATCATTACTGTTTGACCTTATATTTGTACTATGAGCAGTAACAACAACATAGAAAATGAAGTCATCTGTTTACTAAGTAGAATAATGCTCTTACTGAGTTGGAATTTTTTCAGGAATTGGATCATCCTTCATGGATCAGGAATGAGGCATGGTATTAGGTGCTGGGATTATGCATTCATTACATGGCATGTGCTGTAGGCCAAGCAGAGCCTCAAACTTGATGGGATATCAAGTGTTAATAATAGCTATCATTTCAGTGTCTTCACATATTCTGAGTAAAGCTGAGGAATTTTTAGAGACAGGATTCATATCTAAAATATGAACTGGTGCTTTTGTCCATTGGTTAAATTGATTATTTTACTTAGTTTTGTGATTTTTTTTTCAAATGAAGAATGAAGACCATGAAATTAGATTATATGTTCTTTCTTTTTCCCCTCTGGGTTTTTTCTAATCTTGTCCTTTTATACTTTTCCTAAAGGTTCAGCGTCTTCCATTTCTTTCAAGCTCAAATCTTTCACTGGATATCTTGAAGGGTAATGATGAGACGATTGGATTTGAAGATATTCTTAATGGTAAGTGTCATTCAGTACCTTTGTATGGAGCCCCTGGAATATACAAGACGACAGCAGCAAACAGGACAGACAGAATTGTCATCTTCATGGAACTTGGGTTCACTTGTGTTTATTTACTTCAGTAAGACAGAATGTAATGGTAATGACTGTTCTGTAACTGTTTTTAGGTGGAATTCTAAGGCTGTGATCATTTCAGTTGAGTAGTTGTCCTCCATCCATGTCCCGAGCACCAAGTCTAATGCAGTATCCTAGGGAGACTTACAGACAGTGGTAGCTGACTCTGCATTCACAGCGTTTGTGGGATGTGACGAGTATTGCTTTTGTTGGTTGGGTTTTTTGTTGTTGTGCGTGTGTGTGTGTGTGTGTTTGTATGACTGGTGTTTTAAATGACTGGAACAAATAAGAGAAATCTTTCTTTAAAAAGTTGTGTCCCCAAAAGGTAATTATTGTATGTCTATAGATGATTAGTAGGAAAGAAGAATCTGTCATTTTAAACAAAACTCCCTGAATAATTATACTTATATATGAGATAGATGACTTTTACATAAGAACAGTACATGTAGCATCCTCTATTTTTCTTGTCCTAAGGAAGATAAAAATAATCCTGTTCAGTGCTGCCTTTTCTTAATATGCTCAGCAGTGCAGAAGAAGCAGAGGCACCCAACAGGATTAAGTTGTGTTAGTTGTGCTAGACATCCGGTAAGAAGATGCTGTGGACATAACAGGTGGCTAGTGGACACCCCTCTGAGAATCTTCCCTGGAGGGACTTCTTGAATGCAGGAAGAGCTGAGATTCTTAAGTGTTTACACTGAACTGAGACCTCATTTAAAATGATAGTTCAGGTCTATGGACTTTATTAATTAGTTATAAAATGCATTCATTTACAAATCTGCTTCTGTAATTCTGTGTAAAGAAAGGGAGCGGGACTTATTGAACATCTTTTCAGTCAACATCGATTCTGTGTCAGGCACTGGGCTAGGCTCTGAATATGCAGTGGTGAACAAATAACTATGCTTTTTTTTTTTCTGAGTTGGAGTCTCACTGTGTCACCCAGGCTGGAGTGCAGTGGCACACTCATGGCCACCTCAGTGTTGACTTGCTAGTCTCTGGCGATCCTTCCACCTCAACCTTCCAAGTAGCCAGAACTACAGACGCGTGCTACCACATCTGGCTAATTTTTTGATTTATTGTAGAGACGAGATCTCGCCAAGTTGCCCAGGCTGGTCTTGAACCCACAGGCTCAGGCAATCCACTCGACTTGGCCTCCTAAAATGCTGGGATTACAGGCTGTGCCACCGAGCCCAGCCTCATCTGTGCTTTCTAAAGGGGGAGGTAAACATGAGGCAGATAAAGCACAAACACATAATCATAAATTGTGATAAATTCTAGGAATAAGAAGGGTGCTGGGTCAGGGGAGGCAAATGCCTCTGGGAATATGATATGGCAGTTGACTCCTGAGAGAAATGGGAGCTGGTTGAGCTGCACGTAGAGGGGAGAAGGTTTTGGGTGGAGAAGACTGGGCTCAGGGTCTGTCACCTAGGAGCGGCTGAAGAACTCTAGGGGGGGTTTGAGTTTTTCTCTACTCACAGGCTAATCCGCTAGCCTACCATGGTTTTGTGGCTGCTGGCAGAAGACACAGACTCCTGGAGGACATTGTCTTACTCCAGCAATAGCAACCAGTGTCAGCATGTTTTGGGGCTCCTGGAGCCACTTCCCAGGGGGCAGCAAGAAGTGGGTTGGGTGATGCCCACACATATGGTGCACTTTGTTACAGGAGAGGAGCTCCAAGTTCAGGGCACCGCAGTCTTAGAGCTGGCAGTGAGCCTGCTGTCCTGTGCTTCTCCGTCTCCTTGGAAAGACAGGCCAAGACAAAGACAGTTTTTAATTTCTTTTTCTTTTAAAATCAGTTACATTGAGATGTAAATGACATACAATATAGCATACTCACTTTTAAGTTAAGTTCTGTGAGTTTCAAGAAATGCACGCAACTAAGTCACCTCAGCCAAGATACAGAATGTTTTTATCACCCCAGAAGTTCCCTTGGTCCTTTGCAGTCACTCCCCCACCCTAACCTCAGGCAGTCACTGCTCTGTTTTCTGTCACTTTTGCAACAGAAACTTTACATTGGTTTTGCGGGTTCTAGATTTTCATGTAAGTGGAATCCTTGACTTTATCTTTTTTGTGAAAAATTTTTCAACTGTTTTTGTTTGTTTTCAGATCCGTCACAAAGTGAAGTAATGGGAGAACCACACATGATGGTGGAATATAAACTTGGTTTACTGTAACACGGTGTGCTCTTCATGGAACGAGGGCTGGATCTTGTTCATAATCGTCTTTTTACTTTAATTTGATGTACACAACATTAAAAGTACTGACACATGAGAGTTTCTGCTCAAGTAGTATTAGTGATCATTTACAGTTATTTAGGTCTCTGTTTATGGCCATGTGATAGTTGAAAGCACTAAAGGGTGATGATTTCTAAAGCCCCTAATTTATATTAAAATAATAGCCTTCTATGTCTAAAAAATGTTGCTCATAAATATTATAAAATGGTTCACAGGTTCCAGTTCAACCTATTTTCTAGATATTCTGTAAATTTGATTTTGAATAACCATATCAGTATTTGAGTCTATAAACGTTGTAGTGATATCTTTCAGAATAAACATTTTAAACTGATTTCAGTGGCAACATTTCTAATTCAGTACACTATAAAATATTTATGCTTTATCTTATTTTAGTATAGTTCATTGATACTCAGAATAAGATTTCAGGCTGGGTGTGGTGGCTCATACCTGTAATCCCAGCACTTTGGGAGGCGGAGGCTAGAGGATTGCCTGAGCCCAGGGGTTCAAGACCAGCCTGGGCAACTGGGCGAGACCTCATCTCCACAGTAAATAAAAAAAAAATTAGCCGGGTGTGGTGGCGTGAGCCTGTAGTCTTTGCTACTTGGAAGACTAAGGCCAAAGGATCGCCTGAGTCCAGCAGGTCGAGGCTGCAGTAGCCATGAATGTGCCACTGCACTCCAGGCTGGGCGATAGAGTGAGACTCCAACTTTAAAAAAAAAAAAAAGGAATAAGATTTGATGCTATTTTACTATTATACCTATTCTTTGGTTCTTTCAGATTGAAAAGTTTAAGTTCAGAGGTTTTGAGTTGTCTTTAAAGTGAAAAACTAAATAAAGCAGTCAGCTGATACAGATTAAACCGTTGTACTTCATATACTTAATATGTATTTAATATATTACCAAGCAACACTGTTAAAAAAGAAGTAAGACTTATTTTTTCTTGTTCATAATTTATATATCACAAGATGCTTAATTTTTTTTAAGTATTAGAGCATTTATATACACACTACACATCCATAAGCAAATTTCATAATAATTTATTTAAAAATTTTCTCCATTGTTCGTTCTTATAAGGTATTCTTTCTGAACCTAGCATATAAAAATTTAAGTTTTTAGAACATTAGTAAATAGATCATCTTTCATGATTAAAAATGTATTTTGATGGTCAATTTTTAGGAACATCTTTTATTAGATAAGTTACTGATTTGAAACATTTTGCAATATCTGGAGACTTTTTTGGAGTCACAACTTTGGGGGTGAGCTACTGCTGGCACCTGGTAGATAGAAGCCAGGAACACAGCCGCACTTCCTCAACTCACAGGACATCGAGTATGGATGGCCACATAACTTAGAGACACTAAAAGGAAATAACTTGAAAATTCATAATTTATATTTAAACACTGGCAATCTGTGTGTTTAAAAAAAATGACCAACGAATGTTCTAAAACTCTACTTCTGCAGTTTGCTCCCTGCAACCAGGAATCATTTGATCCAAAGTGTTAGTAGTGCTGAAGTTGACAAACCTTGAGATACTCAGATTATATGTGGTTTTTAAAAAAGATTTCTCGTGTTCCTTATTGTTGAGATGAAGTTTAACATCATCTTTGCCAATGCAGTATTTGCCAACCCACTTTACACTTAAATAATCAGGAAATGTAGAAATAATGAAGGCTCACCGGCTGATTGTTTCTAGAGATATTTTCTCTTAAGTAAGGAAGTGGAGAGTTCTTCTGTACTTAATTCTAGGAATGACAGATACCTTTCCTGACCAGTAGAGGGTCCTGCGAAATTAATGAGTGTAGTGTAAATGGAAAGTCTGGTACTTATGTAAAAGCTGGTCACCATGAATGGCACTTTCTGAGGGTCTTGGCTTCCTCTCTCTTTTGCCTTCTTTGTATTGACACCTGTGGTGCTCATCCCCGGATGCATGTAGGAACCAACTGGGAAATGTTTGAAGCAGTTTTAGTGTCAAACTCTTCTCAATCTCAGAAATTCCAGTACCCCTAGTGTGACCCGAGTCCCAGGAAGTACCTTTTTGAAAGGCTCCCCACGATTGAGAATCTGTGTCTGAACGCATTCTTTCCATTCTTTGCTTGCTGTGCGTTTGTGTCAGTGGCATTCATCAGCACCGGGTACCTCTTCTGGTGAGTGTCCGAGAAGTTGATCGCTGTTCCTACCCTGGAACCAACATGCGTGCTCGGAGTTGGGAAATCAGTTGGGTTCCTTTGGAAGAGTCAGCTGCAGGTCCCTCTGAGTTACCTTCCTAGATGCCAATCCCTTCAGTTTGGCATTTTTTCTTCAGGTGCTATGATTTTGTTGACAAATTTTGTGGGGTTTTTTTGTCTTGTTTTGGTTTTTTTTAGTCAGGGCCTACTCTGTCACCCAGACGAGTGCAGTGGCATGATCATGGCTCACTGCAGCCTTGGTCTCCTGAGTTGCTGGGGCTACAGGCATGCACGAGCATGCCTGGCTAGTTTTTTTTTAAGAATGTTTGTAGAGACAGGTTCTCACTATGTTGTCTACGCTGATCTAGAATTCCTGGGCTCAAGTGATCCTCCTGCCTCAGCCTCCCAAAGAGCTGGGATTGCAGGTGTGAGCCACTGCGCCACCCTGGGTTAGTACTTTCCTTGCCTCTATTTTACTTATAAAATACCTTTGGGATCAAGGTACTCCCTAGGTTGGTGCCTGACTTAACGATGTTCCCCAACTGTACTCTCCACATTTCACTTCTGCCGCCAGAGGTGTGTGAGGTCTTCATCACACACCCAACAGTTCTCCAGGGGACACAACAGTGTATTCAGTAAGTAACTCGACTCTAACACTGCTTGGAGTAGTCACATCCCGCAGGTCAAGGGCTCAGTCCCACAAACCCCAGGAGCCAACTGCAAGCCCCAGGCCGTCACCTGTACCCCCATACTGGCAGGTTGTCAATTGGGTTCCCTTGACTCTCCCTCTTGGCTGCCACAGTTTTCAGCTTGCAGAACTCAGGGAAACACTTGACCTACACGTATCCATTGGTTACAAAGGAGCTTGCAAAGGAAATATGAACAGCAAGGTGGAAAAAAGTGGACAAGGGGCATGAGGGGTTCAGAGCTCCCCGCCTTCTCTGGGCATAACCCTCTCCAGGCACCTCCCATGGTTCAGGACTGACGGAGGCCTCATCATGTAGGTGTGACCAATTATGAACTCAGTCTCCAGCACCTCTGCCCTTCCTGGAGGACAGCATGTGGGTGGGGCTGCTGATCCCAAGCTTCTGGTCAACACCACCCCACCGTGCTTGAGTGAAATGAACACTTGAAGGATGGAGGCTTACCTAGCAAGGTGCCACCTAGCTCTGTATTAAGCTTTTTAGAACAAGAGTGGGTCCAGTGTTTTGCCATCTGGGATCGTCAGGGGTTGGTGTGTAATTGAGCACTGATGGCATACCATGAGATGGCTCTTGCACAAAACACTTTCACTCTACAGAATGGGAAAGGCTTACCACTTTTCCTTAATTTTGCCCTTGACTGTAGGCATGGTCCCTCTTTCAGACAGGTAAATGCAGCCCAGTGCTCTCCTGAAGTTATTCCTTTGTTTTGGTTTTTATGTTTATTGTTTAGAAACGGCATCGCTGTGTTGCCCCGGCTGGAGTTCAGTGGTTATTCACAGGCATGATCATAGCTTACTGCAGTCTTGACCTCCTGGACTCAAGTAATCCTCCTGCCTCAGCTTCCTCAGCTTCCTTAGTAGCTGGGACTACAGACACATTCCACAGTACCCTGACTTGTTTCTTTGCAGACATTTATGAATGAGAAATAGGGTCTGAATAGTAGATTACTTTGGGAAAATGGAACAATTATGTCATGTATAATCTTTCACTGAAATCTGAATGTATTTTTTTCAAATACATGAAATAAGTTTTTTTATCACCCAGGCTGGAATGCAGTAGCACACTCATGGCCCCTCCAGGGTCGACCTTCTGGACTCCAGCGATCCTTCCACCTTAGCCTTCCAAGTAGCTGGAACTACAGATGTGCACTACCATGCTTGGCTAATTATTTATTGTAGAGACCAGGTTTCACCAAGTTGCCTGGACTGGTCTTGAATCCCTGGGCTCAGGCAATCCACTCGCCTCAGCCTCCCAAAGTGCTGGGATTACAGGCTGAGCCACTGAGCCCAGCCTGAAATAAGTTTTAACCAAATTTTGACTTACGATTTCAATAAGATAAAACCAGGAATGCCATGACACTTCATGGGACTTAGCTTATGATTTCAAAACTGAAGTTTAAGTTTCTTCATGTATAATAAATGCTTAGTTGAGAACCTGTACTTGTTTGTTATAGATTCTTAAATATTAAAGAATGAGAACATACTGTTAGTTTTTCAAATAGGATTTCTGCAGGATTTTTATTCCCAGATTTAAACAGCATAAGGAATTTGAAAACTTTTTTTCTTTTGAAGATGGAAAAAACAAGTTTTGAAAGTTTAGAGTTTACTTCCATATTTTTATTTATTTATTTGAGTCAGGGTGTTACTCTAGTGCTCAGGCTGGAGTGCAGTGGCACGATCATGGTTCACTGCAATCTCGACCTCCTGGGCTCAGGCTCCTGAGTAGCTGGCATTACAGGTGTGCACCACCCATGCCTGGCTAATTTTTTTAAAATTTTTATTAATTTGTTTAGTTGGGTCTCACTCTGTCGCCCAGGCTGGAGTGCAGTAACACACTCTTGGCTACCCCAGCGTCAACCCACTAGGCTCTGGTGATCCTTCTGCCTCAGCCTTCCAAGTAGCCAGAACTACAGGTGCACACTACCACACCCGACTAATTCTTTTATTTTAATTTTTTTTAATTGTAGAGACAAGGTCTCGCCAAGTTACCCGGGCTGGTCTTGAACCTGTGGGCTCAGACAATCCATTCGCCTCAGCCTCCCAAAGTGCTGGGATTACAGTCTGAGTCACTGAGCCCGGCCTTAATTTTATATGTTTGAGAAACAGGGTCTCACTGGGCTCCTGGGTTTAAGAAATTCTCCCATCTCTGCCTCCCAAACTGCTGGATTACTGACATGAGCCACCACGCCTGGTCTTGCCTCTGGAGTCAGTAGACGTGCCTTGCCAGCTGTACTTTGCCTTGTTGCTTCTTTTCAATGTCTTGACCTAATGGCGACAGGAAAAAGCTATATTGTTCATTGCTGTGATGGAACACATAGAGGATACAGCTTTGGGTCAGGTACAATTCTGCTTTAATCTTGGCAACAGTTTTAGGGAGATTACTTGGCTTTAACTCAAGACTTCCACCACCTTTCTTATTTGTTTTCTGGGTGATAGAGAAATCCTGCAAGACAAAAACCAATTT